CCCCACAAACACAGGCAAAGATATCTGCTAATAAAAACTTATTCACATACTGGACTAATTTACTGATGGATCTGTGAAAACAATGGAGATTATAGGATGCCAAATGAAAACAATACAAATGCAAATAGAGCTATGTTGGGCAAATCAGAAAGATCCACATAGATAAGCCAAGGGTACATGATTAATAAGAGGTGAAACAAATTGAATTACTGGGATGCTAAATGTTGAAAGTCAACGATGGACATAATTCATTGTCAATAATGTGGTGTCGCATAGTCCAATCCTGTTTTAGCTTAACTTTATTTACAGGCGGTCCCACATTTCACTCAAATACTCTCTGATAAATAGCAACAACGCAACCTCCCCTCCATAAGATGCCGCCCTGGATGGTTGCCCAGGCAGCTGTGTATAAGCTTTCATATCAACCTGCTGTGGTTCACGTGATGACATTTTAGTGAAGACATCTTGTGGTCAGTGTTGTCATAACTGATATTAAATATCCATGTGTCCAAATGTGCCAGCAAAACATGTGTAAAGGTCTCCTTTTTGCCTATATGAAGCCAGTAGCGGACGCCAGCTCACAATGGTTTGACACTTGTTAAGAAATAACAAGAAAATACCAAAGTAAAGGAGCTTTTGGTCGTGAACTGATGAAGAATGACCGCAGATCAATTAAATCTGATTCGACCCTTAAAAGAGAAAGAGTCTCGACTGAAATGAAAACCATTCCCAGCCGTAAAACACAGAAAAAAGTTTTTTCGGGATTAACCGCTTGCTCCGATAAAGACTGAACTGAATTCCCTCTAACGTTTCCGCATTCAAATAATTGGGGTTTCGGACATAAGTGCAACAGTGTGACAGACTGACTTCTGAATTTAGAGTCTAATATATGTTTTTGACTTCTTGACAGCAGCGAGACATGTCCTCGCAGGTCAGCTGGAGAAACAGACTGACTGATGTCAACAATACGACCACACACTGACTCACTCATCAGTCACAGAAAATCCTTTAATAGCTGTTATTCCACGTTTTCTTGTCATGTCATTATTACACAAGGCAAAGAGAACAATTAAGTAGGGCTGTTGTTTCTGCAAAAACAGAAAAACAAAAAGTGGCTCTTTCATTTTCAAGACCCCTTTGCTTGAGAGGGAATCCTACTTGCAGCGGCTGTGATTACGATGCGTGAGAAAGGTTCCTCACAGTTCCACTCCATATCAATGAAAAATCCTGCTGCCCTGTTATAAGACAATGTTGGATTCAGCTCAATGTAGAGAAAATGCAAAATGAGGAAGATTGAAAACATCCCCACAAAGTTTAAATGGAGGGGCAAAAGTTTGTGAAGTTGACATATGTACAGTACACACTCACATTTAAACCAGATATTTACATTTACTCTATAAGGTGTGTCGTAGCCTTTTTTTCCATTTGACATGAAATCTGACTAAATTTTTCTTGTTTTCCTATCCCACAAAGGACAGCCTACAAATACTTACTTAACCACATGTTGATTCAACATTCTCATGCATTTCTGTATTTCAATTCAGGCGCTACATTCATCATAGATGAACCAGACTTACAGAGGTCCGCATTTCTGAGATATTTCATCTGAAAGACTCTTTCAGTCATCAAAAAACTTGCCTTAGGTTTTTTTTTTTTTTAGGAACAAAACTTTAGTAGAGCATATTGACAACTGCATTTAAACTTAGACAGGCTATCCATGGACTGATTAAAAGCTTTAGACGAAAGCTCCTAAAAAATTTCTTGGTGCCTCTCACCCTGTCATGACTTGTCGATGGCAAAGAGGCTTTCCGTCCAGTAAGAGAGTCATCTCTTAAAAAATCTAGAGGGTTATAGGTCAAAAAGGAAGGAGATTATACAACTCATGCAGAGTGATATAATCGGTTGGGCTGTTTATGAAGACACTGGTAGATCCACAACCCAAATTACTGACTGTAGCCCCAAACCATGGAGTATCTGTGAGAAAGAAATAATCTTTAAAGGCCTCTAACATCCTCACTTCAACTTTGCAAGGGAGCACCAAAGATCTTTATGAAAGATTGTGCCCTCGGATTTAAACCACTACTGGCCATGTAGAGATGTTGCAACTTGCAACTCTTGAGCGATGCCGCTGTTTACTGAAAATATTTATGGCAGAACAGCAAGGCAGATATCCAAAAAAAGTCAGTTTGATCTATAGAATCCCTCCATGAAGCCGTCTTCACCTCACAAAGCACCAACCTGCAGGGAACACCTCTGGCACGTCAAAAAGCATTTCTGAAGTGATCAGAAAAATCAGTGGAGCTCCGTCACTACATTATCTATGGTTTTTACATGTCTCACTTATTAATGCATATATATATATATAGAGAGAGAGAGACAGGGAGAGAGAGAGAGAGAGAGAGAGAGAGAGAGAGAGAGATGTTTGTTTTTTTAACTTATTGCCATTAACAGTCAGTCAGCTGATGAACAGTCTGTCTGAGTTTAAATGCTGTTTTCAGTACATTACCCACACTGTTTGTTTTGGCTGCTGCTCCTGTTTCTTCTGTTTGCATTTTAAAGCTCAGCTTGAGATCTGCTTACGAGCCAAAAACATGTAACGTCTTTCTCTACCTTATGACTGTGACCAGAAGTATCTTGTATTCGGGCTAAATCCAGCTGAGAATCTGGGTTAAGCCTTGAAAATGCGACGACTGCAGTTCGTTTAGAAGATGGCCAAACGTGCTGCAGATGAAACAACAACCTATGCTTTACAACATGTTGGTTGCCCTTTCATGATGCCCTGGAAATCTGCATTTTGCTTTGTGTTGTTCTCTTCAAAATTGCAATAATTGTCAGGATTAACTTCATCACTTCCACCACCTCTGTTCAGCCATTTCTTAACCTACCAGGAGTCAACTGTCTGCCCTGTTAAGCTGCTCCAGGTCGAAGGTCAAACTGTATGAACTGAACACACTTACAGTACGAGACAGTAAACAAGACAAGCAGGAACTAGACTGCAGCAGTCGTTGCACCAAACCAAACAATGTGTGATATTTTGCCTTTTCCCTCACTACTCCAGCGCGTCGCATATGTGAGGTTTGATTAATTGACAACTTGACCAACTTTTTGAAGCCATAAATAGAACACATTCATTGTTAAACATTAACAAGATACTTTTACTTTCAAATAATTTACAACTTTTATTCTTCTCTTCCAGCTGACTTTGCACAATATTGGAACAAGAATGAAGAAGTTAACTCGAGTCGATGGGTTCGTCAAAGTTCTCTCCTCTGTCTGCAGAGCGGAGTTTGATGCTGTGGGGGGACAGTCGGTGGAACAGGTGAGACTGGCGAGTCGAAAGCGCTGCTCTGTGATTTCAGAGAGCGCGAAGACACTGTGTGTGTTCAGGAGCTAGTTTGTGTGCGTTTTCTCTCCTCCTGTAGAGTAAATGAGAGTGAGCCGAGTCTGAAGCAGGAACAGAGGAAAGAGTCAGGAAGAGGAGGGGGAAACTGGAGGGTAAATACGCTCTGCCGCCTCTACTGGCAGCCTGCAAACCCTGAAGTGGATGGACGGACAGACAGAGGGATGGACGGATGGACAGACAGATAGACAGACTGACCTGTGACAAGATGCCAGGACGAAACCTACAACTGGCAAACTTTTTCATAAATTACATTTGGTCTTTCCAGTTTGTCCCACAAGTTTTTTTTTTGTTTTTCTCGTTTTTTGACTGGTTTGTTGGTTGGATGGTGCAGCCAGTTTGTTCTTCTCCTTGTGTGTCTGTTTTGTACGATTATTGATGGGTGGCATCATCCAGATCTGTGTGAAAAGGGAGCCAAGGAGAAGAGATTGTTCGTTCCCTTTCTGTCTCCACTCCCCTGTGATAGTCCACAGACCAGATGCCCACTTTGGCATCGACTCGCTGCCAGCGTTATGTTAGGCGCGGGGGGGCGCACAAACACACATGCACGTGCAGACACATTAGCGCACCGAGAGCAGGAGAGGCTGTAAAAGAGCACTCGTCCATCTGCCCGTCTCCGCCGCAGAGAGAGCACATCAGCATGTTTGCGTCTTCTGCAGGATGCTCGGTGTTGAGTGTGAGTTTGTGTCTGGAAATCTGTTTTGCAGAGATGAAGCCTTGCTGAAATGCAAATAAAAGGCTTCCTCTGGTTTTTTTTAGCACATCAACTCTGATGATGTTTAGACATTTTGGTTGCAACTCTCACCTCAGTTTTAAGTTAAAAACCCAAAAGGCGTAACAGACGAATGCAAAATCTCACTTAAGGAGTACACACACGTAAAGTTAATAACGAGCCATTGCTAAGAAAAGAAACATCAATAAACATTTCCAGTTCTGAGTCTGGAAACGTGTTTGTTTGCTTAATCAGATATAAAAACCTGAGCAAACCAAATCTGCCCATGAAGGACCAAACTTTTTTTTATTTTCATTTGTTGCTTTTAATGTTTCAGACTATCAAATGAATTGTAGCACCAGAGAAAACTAGTCTGACTAAAAACAAACAAACAACAAAAAAGCTATCTGGGTGATCTGGATCATGTTTGTCCTTAACCGACTTTTTGCAAAATGTTTTTTTCAATAGTTATTTTTCAGATGAATCAGCCTGCTTCTGTTACAGATGTTTTGTACCTGAGGGATCGGCGTGAATCCTCTCTCCAGATTGCTCTCGGCTGAAACACGACGGAGTTTGTCTCTCCCCTGCAATATTCAGAGTTAACCAGCAGGGCAGATGTCGCTCCCGCAGACCAACTGCAGTCATCTGCTGCTCTACTCCTCAGCGTTCAGCTTAAATAAGCTCAAACAAAGCTAAATCACAGGTGGGTAACCCTCCCCGCCCCGTCCGCCGAGCTGCAGACTGTTTACATGTCAGTCACTAAAAGCACTCTTAATGTCAAGTTTAAGTACACGTTTATGAGCGTGTTTCACACGAGCCTTCTGGAGTTTAATCTTTGACCCCTTGGTATTTTTCCTGCAGATCGTCTCTTGTAGCGCCTCGGGTGTTGCCATGACAGCAGTGTAACCTGAGCTGCCAGTCAGGTAGGACAGGTAACCAAGCTTGAACGGACGATTCGAGGAGCAGGTGCGTGAGCAGGAAGGACAAAAGTGAAAGAAAGTAGGAGGAAAGAGGGAGCTAGAAACCTGGAAACACTGACGGCAATGGATTGTGAAAGATAGAAAAAAAAAACAAACAAACAACTATCCAAGCTGGAGGACGACAAAGAGACTCAGGCCCTCGAGGCCAACGTGGACATGGATGATGGGACGTTCACGACCATCTCTCTGGCAGACGACTCAGGTACAGAAGTCGTTTTCAACCTTTAAAGATCTCTTAAAGAGACCAGATCCTTCCTCTGGAACCGGTTTCAAATTCAGCTAGATTTTGTTTGTTTGTTTTTTTTTTGCATGGAAAATTCTCGAGTGATTCACGAGTGTGACATAACTGTCCGCATTTGCATAAACTAACAATTGTCCTACATTCAGCTCACTACACACCTGATAGACGGGACAAAGGGCCATGAGACAGATGGTGTGGCTGTGTGGGTGTGCTCTGACAGGAACAGGATGAATGCGTAGCTCTTAACGATACTTCATCCAGTTAAAACTTTCTCATCTACAACCTCTCTCCACTTCCAAAGAACAGATCACAGCCCAAATGAATAAATGTGACTGCGTTAATCTATATAGGCATTTGTCTCACCATTGGACACCTAATGAGACTAAAGCTTGCCAGGATAATTTTTTAAAGAGCCGCTTTGTACGGTTCTGCTTAATTCACAACATTTGACTTAAATGAGTAAATATCAGAGGAAGCACTTGAAACACGCTGCTTCCTTTGTGATATAAAAATGAAGACAAATTGGGTAAAATATCAAGAAGGCAAGTTTATTCACTAAACCGACTGTCCAAAGCGTTTCACAGGACGCTAAAAGGCAATAAAGCTGAAGGATGATTTAATGTTTTGCATAAAAGACAGCTTTATATGTTAGATATTAGGATGTAGCACAAGAAAAGAAAAATATTAATCACTCATCAGTGAAGAGGCAAACAATATTGATGGAAAGAAACATATTTTCAGTTCTGATTTAAATGAGACAGCAGTTTCTGCACAACAGGGAGTTTGTTCTAAGAGGATGAATAGCTAAAAACGCCTCTGAAGACCTGAGGGGTCACCAATTGTTTGAATTTGACCTGCAACTTAGTATTGGATTTTAACCTCAAACCATTTAGTGCTTCACAGAGCAAACCAAGAATATCTTTTGACAAACAGGGTTCCGGTGCGATGATTTAGAAATGCCGTAATGTTATCCGTGGTTGGTCAGGACTCCTGCAGCAGCAAGAACAGAATTAGTTTCATAAGTCTGGTAAATAACTTGTGTTGCCATTAGAATGAACTTTACTGCTCAACACATAAATTCACATACCTTACAGTGTGTGTACGTTGTATAATTGTATGCCATTTAGATGCAAAATAAATAGGTTTTCTGACCATATGAAATGTACTGCGAGGCAGTACTGTTCAATGTCAGCCTGCACAATATTCAAATCTCAAATGACAGACTGGAGAGCAGTTATTGTTGGACAATAACCCAAGTGTTATGAACTTAATTGAACAATGTCTCATGACAGCAGAAGCTCACATCGGGTGTAATGACATTACCCAAAATGGCAAAGGTCACCTTACGGAAGCACTTTGAGAAAGAGAGGAAAGAAGAGAAAATGCATAAACTGCAACTGATTTTATCATTGCTAGATTCACCATTTACCATCACCCTCACAAGATGTTCGAATACTGTACAGCCGTAATTGTACACCATGTCTTTATTAGGTTACAAACTAATTTGATCAAAGATTTGATTTTTACTTTCTTAAGAGAATAAAATGTTTTTTTTTTTTAATCAACAGTTTTTGACAAAAGAACATAAAAGTGAAATGTTCTTTTCAGTAACGCAGAGAGAGAACGAGCGAACCAGCAGAAGAAATAATACTTCTGGAATAAAAGGTATCATATAAATGCCTCAATCGTCCGGCTATACCACTGTTGCCTCACTTATTCCAGTAGATCCGACCACAAGGGCTGCTCGACTCGTTGCTTGAGATTTGATAGTTTACCTATGTCTGTGAGCTGCTGGTGTTGCGCCCCCTTTCGGTAGATGTTGTTACACACATGGTTCAGGTTTATATATTTATATCTGTCAGCTGTCGTCATCCTCCTTATCATCGACGCGGTACAGTAACATCATAGAGTAATTAAGCTAAGCGAAAAGGTGGTTCTTTTTTTTTAACTGTAGGTAAGTAAGTGTCCTTTCTGTTTCCTACAACGACGAGGAGAAAACTCTTACCTGGCTGTTTAAATTGGACTATACGAAGCTAAATGTAGCCACCGGCAGAAAATACCTCAAAAACAGTTCGGAGGCTTGTTTCTAAGACCCAGCGTTCAAATTGTTCATCCGAGTCTCTTCCACATGAAAACACGGTTTATGTCCCGCGGCTCTCGCCTCACATTTACTCCGCATTTGATGCTGGAAGCGGTTAGCCTGGCTAGTCACTAAGCTAATTAGCTAAAAGAGCTAACTTCCAGAAACCCATTATCGGACAGACTCCTTAGCTTTGGCTCGGTTGGCCTAAAAATTATGACGCCTTCTTCAGGTGTCGTGGTGTCTAATTGCTCTTCTTAAATGCAGCCATTTCTCACAAATCATCCGCTGTACACACACAGTCCTGGCTCGTTAAATGGTGACTTCAGTGGTGAAATGAATGGTGCTCGCAGAAAGCAGACAGGGACTCGCATCCAGGGCGCGGTGTCTTCCCCCATCGTCACTCCACCAGAGCAGAGACACCTGGGCTCCGGTTTCTGGGCTCTCACGGCATTTTTAGTACCCACTGTATTCCTTCCTTGTTTTATTCAACTTTTCTGATACAAAGTGTCCGGTCGCAGTCTCTTTATTCGTTTACTTTATTACGGGGGGAGAAAGTGTTTCATGTAGGTTTTGTTTCTGGAGATGTTTCAAAGCGGTCTGAATCTTAAAATTGCCAACTTTTTTGAAGGTTTTTGCGGTGTCTTTAATCCGGTCTGTGCAGCCAATCATGTGGCTTGTTCGATTATAGGCGGTGACCAGTACACGTCTGAAGACAGCACGCGCTGGTGGTCACGCAGCTGAAGTTGGCCACTGAATCGGGAAAAGGCTAAAGGGCGATTCCACCTTATTTTTCCCACTACTTTCACCATATTGAATATACTCTAGTTTAAAAAAAAAAACCTACAACGCCTAGACACTTCAAACCTGGACTGCATTATTCTGCTCTAATAGTAGAATATGTAAAACCATGTTGGGATTTTTTTTAAACCTTTCTCCCATTTGTGAGACATCAGAAATTGGGAAAAATAAATAAATCAGAAACCAACTTCAGCCTCGTATAATAAGATTTGCTTGAGAATCATCTTAATGTTTTGTCATCATTGGTATTTTGCACCAAACCAAACGAGTAAAGGAGAAAAAACTGCAAAATATTGGCTCATCACCAGCAATTTTATGCCGAAATGACTCAATGGTTGGCATTGAGGCTACTGAGCAATAAGTAACATTCAAATGAATAAAAAATTAATGAAATCCCATTTATACTGGATGAAAAACCTTAAGAAAATTGAGGAAACTTTCTACAAGACTTTAAATATCCAGTTTTTTTATTGCTTTCCTGTTATACCACCACAATGTTTTATATTTTCTTAATGTAAAGCACTTTGAATGTTCTTTTTGTTGAAATGTGCTATGCAAATAAATTTGGCAATAGTTTTAAAAGACGTTCAAACCGTTCCGTTTTATCTGGAGTTTGTTGGAAACCACCCTGATCTCTGGCTTTTCTCCTTAGCCGACAGAGGATCTGCAGCCCTGTATACTAAACAGGAAGACGAGCTTTTCATCATGAACTGCGACATAGATGGTTCGTCTCATGCCAGTTTTGCATTAGATAGAACTATTATATTCCCTGGACGTTTCATTGTGACGCCATAAATTTGTGTTTCAGGAGACCTGGAGAACCAGGCTGAGATGGAGGAGAAAACGAGGTTGATAAACCAGGTTTTGGAGCTGCAGCACACACTGGAAGGTAGACGAAAGCTTCCGCTCTACGTTTTAATGACAGGGAGTTTTACCTATCCCGGCTGGGAGCTCGTCACATTTATTAAGAGATGCTACAAAGCCAGAACCAACCAGAACACTGTAAAATGAACTTTTTGCTGTTGGATGCGAGTATACCCAATCTAACAAACCAGCATAAAGGGCAGGTTTGTTCAGTACACAGCTTAGAAGTTACTGCAGCTCCTCCAGAGTTACCATGTTGCTCACAGAATAGCTGGATGAGATTAAATTTCTCATATGAACTCGATTTACTGATTAGCTTTTACTTCGTATTTTCCTTCCATTTCAATTGCTCTTGGTTAGTCCATCACATGTAACACAGTAACGACAAAAGTGAAAAAGATTAAGGTGCGAATAGTTTTCAGAAACTTGTTGCAAGGTCTCCGGTGTAACATCCGAACAAACTTTAAGTCTGATGATCTTGCTTCAGATCTGTCGGCTCGAGTCGACGCGGTCAAAGAGGAGAACCTGAAGTTGAAGTCGGAGAATCAGGTGCTCGGTCAGTACATCGAGAACCTCATGTCGGCCTCCAGCGTCTTCCAGACCACCGACACCAAGAGCAAGCGGAAGTGAAGCGGAGTCAAGCAGAAGGTGGTGGTTGGAGATCCCGTAACCATTTACCTGAGTCAGAACTAAACAAATGTAAATATGAAAATAACGTCTGTAAAATACTTTTTGTTTTCTTTTTTTAACCCACCGACATCGGGACATTTTGTTGTGCTTCAGTTTAAAGTGAATGTTCTAAAATGAGTTTGACGTCAAACAAGTTACCAGGAACCTTATTATCAGCGTTAATTTAATTAATTTCTGTATTTTCTGTTGTTGGACAGCTGGATCTGGTACTTCAGTTGGTCTTGTATTTCATGATGCTCAACTATTTTCCTTTGCTTGCAGTTGATTCGCTGACCAGTGTTGTGCAGAATGAAAAATGTGTAATAACGGCATGTATTAACATATCTAAACATATCTAAAGAAATGTCCCTACATTTAGCAGAAAACTGGCTGAGGAAGTTTGCAGAGCGTGGCGTCAATAAGGAAAGCGCAGAGGCTAAAAGCTTACATCATCAGTTATGTTTTCATTGCAACTAAAATTTTGTTTAGGTATTTCAAGATGGAAATGCAACCGAGATTTGGTTCCTTGTTCCTCTAATAGTGATGGAGGGAACATAACGGGTCGAGTAACACGATGATGAGGGAAGAAAGAGATACTTTCAGAGCAGCAGCAAGACGGGCTGAGTGCTATTGATCCGATCGGTTTGGCCTGGGATGTATCGCCTGCTAGGAGACGGGCGTTAAAACGCATCATCAGTGTGCAGCGGCAGACAGGGCGTGTCCGAGCCGTCCGCCGCCTCAGAGAAAAGGGGAGTTGAAAAGATTAATGTGAATGAAAACTGGATTTTGATGCTGCTTCAAAATTGTGGATGAACACGGTGCTGTACAAAAAACAGCTTCAATCACATTTAATGTATTTTAATCGGATTGTATATGTGATAGACCATAGAGGACAGCAGCCATTATTTGTTATGTTAAACATTATGTGTTTTTCAGATGTGTAACATTTTGTAAACCATGAACTGTTTTTCTTTCATGTCCGACTTTGTCAGTTTATCGAGCCAAAAGTCAAAGTTCAAATGGGTATGTTGTGGCTTTTTTCAAGGTTATCTTTTATACTTTCAGCAGTTATGTGTCATGCTAATGTCCTCCTTTTTACACACTAGCTGGTCATGCCTTGTGTCCAGATTTGCCTTTAAATGTTTTTTTTTGTTTCATAAAATCTCACAGTTACCACTCCAAGTCTTATCACCTGCACAGACCTACTACAGTAAAATAAAAATATTTCCCAAAACAGACGCACTGCATCCGATTTCTTTTTGTATTAAATAGTTTTATTTCCAAGAGCAAATGTACAAGTTGCAAACAAATGTAAAGTTGCAAACAAATGTAAACAGGGGTTAAGTGCCAACATGTGGCTGGAGGGTGAACTACAAAAGCTTTGGACGACGATAAAAAATAAAGATCGATGTGTCTCCCAGATTTAATCACCAGCTCAAACAGGAAAGCACTGCTGCGTTTCTTTTTATTTCCTGCCAAGGCAAGGAAATAATGCTACTTTAGCTGCAAGCATTGACTGTCAGTTTCCTATTTTCAATTTAAATATTTCACAGACCTCTGCTCACAGTAAGCACATCAGTGGCACGTATTTGTGGAAAGTTGCCTCAAGCCTTAAAACACTTTACCATTAAAACCTTTATTCATACTGGTGAGAAACAGTCAAGTCGAAACCAATAAATAGAACAGCGGAGCAAAATTTCAACTCAACACTAAATAAAAAATAAACAGATGCTCATTACAAACTAACTAAAATGTAGACCAGCAATGCATTTTATCTGGAATCTGTTAACCTTCGCGCTCCCCTCAGTTTCGAACATTTTTAAAACAAGAACTTCCTCTTCAAACTTTCCCCCTCAAATCAAGGATTTACGTGAATAACCTCAGAGAGGGCCCCTTCGATATGCGGTAAAAAAAAAAAAGTGATCAGCGCTGTTGGGGTTCTGCTGCTTTCATAAACTGATGGTTTATGAAGAGAGATAGTGAAAACAGAGGAGGAAGATGCCGACTTTTTGACGACTTCTGGAACAGAATTAGGTTGTGGGGGGGGGAAAGAAAAAGAAAAAAAAACAAAAATCAACTATCAATGGAAGCTAGAAGTGGCGGAGGAACCTCCGGGAAGCTCATCCGGCTGAGCGGGCGGGAGGAAGGAGAAGCGTGGGACGGGGTGCGGAGGTCTGTGAGGCTTCAAACCTGGGCAGAGTGGGGCGGGTGGAGCTGAGACACAGATGGGGCAGCCAGGTGACTGCAGGCTACCGTTGGGGTTGGAGGAAACGTCGTGCTGCTCCGCTCAGGGAGGAGGGAGCAGCTACAACAGAGAAGACCCCTTTCACCTCCTCCCCCCCGGTAGAGAGGAAGAGACAGCAGACGTTGGAATCGCCTCAGTCTTTCCGTACCCTCCTCTTTCTGATGGCTTGTTTGTGGCTCTCTCCAGTGACGTCGCCTCCATCTTTCTGTTGGGTGATTTGACAAAAGAGAAGCTGCAGTTGACAACTGAGTCACTTCCAGTTAACCCAGTCAAAACCGAGGGGCGAGTTTTGTCTTCACCGTGGATCATCCTCAAGTGACCTACACTTTTCTGTCCTTGTTGGTCAAGCTGTAATGGGAGTGCTGACACCGTAAAGCTCAGATGTTTGTAGAGCTGAAATACTTGATCGGATTGAAATAGTTGTCAATTGATTTAGAAATTGATTCATAGTTAACTGGAGCACAGACTCAGAAAAGGCCATTTGCTAAAAAAACAAAACAAAAAGAAAAACCATATTTCTGGTTATTAACCAGAAATACATTTAAGATAAGAACACCTGCCTGTACATATGTTTCCCCAGATTCACTAAAGGAATACTATATATTGTATTTCAAGCACTAAAATGTTTACTTTTGTATTTTAAAGAGGAATTAAATTATTTATTTGCATCTTCTAATGTATTTTTATTGTTGTGTAAAAATGCTTATGTGGTTAAATGAAAAATCTGTAGAATGTGTCAATCTGTAAATCCAGTTAATCCTCAGAATAATCAGTTTCTAAAATAATCGTTGGTTGTAGCATTAAGTGTGTGCCACATTAACGTTTGTCTACATTGGGGTTCTGTGGAGAAGTTCAGCAATATCCTACCTGCAGACAAAAATAATCTCAGCTTGGAGAATTGGAGGAGTATCAAAGAAGAGAAAGTAAGATTGTTATAGTGTTAGGCAGCTGGTATTATGAATGCATGGCACTTGAATTATAATGTGCAACTAACTACTGATCCTGGCTGCCTTGTGTGATTGTGAAATTGATGACAGATATCGCAATTAGGACTGTGATTCAGTATTATACAGCTCCTTGTAGTTTTTCTTGTTAAAAACTACAAGAAAGTCATAAAAGTTTTAAATTTAATATCAGAACTTAACGTCTTGGAGTGGTTAATGGTATTAAAACGCATGTTACCCAGCCCTGGTAAGCAGCTGTTGAAACCTAAACTGTTCCAAGACAAATTTAAAACAAAATCTCAAAACTAAAAATCTGACACCTCCTTAGTCTTGCATCCTCTCCGAAAGACTAATCTTTATTGATATTGATGTTAACTCATCTTCTGTATATTCTGGAGTCTATATGAAACATCAGATCATCATATCAACAAGTTGTTTCGGTGGGAAAGTATTTCCAGCCTCCATGCCTACGAAAAGATTCACCACAAACAAACAGACCATGAGACTCTCACCTCATCTTCTAATGTACTTTCTGGAGTTTTGTTTTCCTCCGATTCTTCTTCCTCTTCCTCCTCCACCTCTTCTTCTTCATTATCATCCCCCACTTGATTGTCTCCCTGTCCGTCATTCTCCTGCCTCTCCCCGTCGTCTTGTGCTTTAAAAAGAACAGCGGCGGTGATGATGAGGGTGAAGGGAAACACCGCAGCGAAGTTGAAACACCAGCAGATAATTGTCACACCTGCTGCTGGTTCTCCAGCTCCAGCTTCCTTCTCTTCCTCATCTGCTTCTGCTTCCTCTTCCTCCTCTTCTTCCTCTTCTATGTGAGACTGCGGTTGATCGACCCGTCTGTACACGTAGTCATCTACTGGTTTCTGGAAATGATAACAGCCGAGTCAAGTAGGACCTGTGAGGTGGACTCATGTTGGAAAAGATCAGGAGATTCTTGCCACCTTCGGCCAGCAGAAGAGAACCGCCAGTCCGACGGGCAATCCGACTGTCAGGACGTAGATTATCCAAAGCCAGGGTCTCTCCTCCGCTGCCATCATCAGCTGAGAAAATATCCCCGGCTGTTAGGATTAAAAACAAGAGACCAGAGATGAGCCTCGCAGAAACAGGACAGTACACGATCGGCCCAACCGTCCTCCACTCACCTCGTTGGCGCTGGCCACCAGTTTCTTCAGCCCCCAGCTGTCTGAGGCCCAGCGGTCAGCCACCTCCTTGTGAGACGTGATGATGAAGTTGTCGAAGTAAATGTCTGAGGTCATGGACCACAGCTCCAGCCCCAAAGCCTTAAACGGAGTCATCCTGAACGGCTGCAGGTCCTCGAAATATTCTGGGTTCAGCATTTTGCGCGGCTTCCAGACTCCCTGCAGAGCGGATGCGGTTTCATGACGGGAACGTCACAAAAATACGGACCGTTCATGAGAAGAGTTCCCGTTACCTGATAATTGGGGTTGTCAATCAGAGGGGCTTTCCACTTGCCCTTATACTGAGGGTTGTTGATCATCGGCCGCTTCCACTCGCCACAGCCAGGAGCCGTCTCACAGGACGGGTTAGGAACCTGCGGGGCCTCCCACTCCCCGTCCATCTCCTCGTCCCTGGCCCCCCCACCCAGCAAACAGCAATCAGACCAACACATCACTCTGCTTTAGTAAACACACATTGTTGGTGCCGGTCAGTTCAAGGACCCACCAGTCCTCTGGTTTCTCTGCATTTGGGTCGGAAACGAACTCTGGCTCGTCATCCAACCATCCTTCTGGCTTCAAGGCGTCAGGATCTTCTATCTTTGCAGGAGCATCCTCGTCCCTGGAACACAAAGAGAAATGCAATTACAGGTTTTATTTGAGGCTCAGAACGTCCAGAGTGTTTTAAAGACGTTCTATAATCACCGCTTTCTAGATGATGTGTAGAAACGTTTATGGCTGAATAATTTCTCCAGTCTGTTGAAGAAAGAACCGTTTGGGTTCCAGAAATGTTTACCTCTTGTCATAAAAACTTCTTGTCCTTTGGATTCTTTTGCTTTGACTCTTGTTTTTATGTTAGATGACAAAGTCCAACTTTTTATTTCTTAAGACTTTTACATGAATATTCCATTAGCTGGTCCAGGAAGTCTGCTGACCAGGATCTGATGGCTAGAAACTAAATGTGTTTTCATTAATAGTCTCACTATTCTCACCAAGTTTGAGAACCGTGGACTCAAATAAAAAAAATAAAAAAAAAAAACATGAAAAAAAATACTTTCCTTAACTTTTTGTATGTATGTAGTGTTGGTTGACTTATTTTTTAAAATTTGTCAAAACACTTTTTGTATAAATCTACTTTTATTGATTTTTTCCCCCTTTCTTAGTTTTTTAAAGATCTTCAACTTCGATTATGAGGCATAATTTGATTTCCTGCACATTTCTTAGATGTTAATGTAAAATTCTAAAAACCATGTAACGGTTTGTCAAGGAACCGTTTTAATCTTTGTGTCATTTTTAATAAATTAAAACAATCTGTACTCTGGATGTAGTTTTGTGGTTGTGTACTGTACCAATATTTGAGTTAAAAATGTTAAATGTGGCCCGAACATTTGGTGAAACTTCTGCCTGTTGATATTAGAGACGAAAATGAATCACCAGTCATCAGGCTTCACAGCCTCGGGGTCTGGGATCTTGGCCCTCTCGTCCCAGTCGTCCGGCTTGGAGTCATTTGGATCGTCGATCTCCTTTGGCGGGTTGACAGGAGGCACCATGTCGTACAGCAGGTTGCCACGGCTCACGCTCGACTGATCGATAAACATCTCGTAGCTGTTGTCTGGGTTCAGGACTAAAAGCAGAAAAAAGGACGGAGAGCACACTCACAAAAAAATACCCACAGGATCAAAACACTAAACGCAGCTCGTCAATCAGCCACACACCCAGAGTGTAGAGGTGAGTCTTCTTGTCGGTGTAGAACTTCTTCAGGTCCACGTCGGCCCTCTTGGCGTGTTTCTCCTCCATGTCTTTGTTCAGGGGTTTTTTGTGGCGGAAGATGAAGTGCAGTTTGTAGTCTTCTCCGCATTTGTCAG